ACAGATTTGACAGCATACAGGCACTGAACAGACAGATCTCCAAATGTATGCGGCAAGACTTACGCAACTTTAATACTGCTCGTATTAAAGAAGCGATCGAGCGGAACCAGGGCTCCAAAGTCTTTGCCAGATTGTTGAAGAGCCAACTGTCAAAGCTGAAGACTGAGTGTGGCAGCATCGTTTCCGGCACACCTGAGATTTTGAGTGAGATTGAGAGGTTCTATGGGCAGCTTTACACATCATCGTTGGAGCCACACGCAAGTGTGAGTAACGATACAAGAGCAAGTCTTACCCGACACTATTCCGATGGTATCCCGGACGTCAGTCTGAGCGAGATTAGAATGGCTCTCCAGCACCTTAAAAACGGCAGGGCCCCAGGCGAGGATGGAATTACAGCGGAGCTTCTGAAAGCGGGTGGAACACCGGTACGTGAAGTCCTTCAGAGGCTCTTCAATTCCGTCCTCCATGGTGGCACTACTCCGGAGGCGTGGAGCAGAAGTGCGTGGTCTTGTTCTTTAAGAAAGGCGACAACGCTCTCTTGAAGAACTACAGACCGATTTCCCTTCTGAGCCGCGTCTACGTGCTGTTTTCGAGAGTCATTATGAATCGTCTCGCACGCAGAATCGACGACTTCCAGCCTCCCGAACAAGCCGGTTTCCGAAAAGGCTTCAGTACCATAGACCACATACATACCCTGCGGCAGATTGTACAGAAGACCGAAGAGTACAATCTGCCACTTTGCCTGGCGTATGTGGACTATGAGAAAGCCTTTGATTCCGTCGAAATTTGGGCGGTGCTACAGTCCCTTCAGCGGTGCCAAGTTGACTGTCGGTATATCGAAGTGCTGAAGTGTTTGTACAGTAGGACTACTTGTACGATGGCTATCCGAGTACAGAACCAGAGTTCGAAACCTATCCAACTGCAGAGAGGTGTAAGACAGGGTGACGTTATATCCCCGAAACTCTTCACCGCTGCGTTGGAAGACGTTTCCAAGCTACTGGACTGGAAAGGATACGGTATTAGCATCAATGGCGAGTACATCACTCACCTTTGCCGACGATATAGTCCTTATGGCAGAATCGCTGGAGGACCTTAGCACTATGCTCAATGACCTCAATGATGTCTCCCAACGGATAGGTCTTAAGATGAACATGGACAAAACACCTGGGACAAATAGTCCGACTAGGTAAGTCCAACTTCGACCGTGAGGTCAATCGACGGATTCAACTCGGCTGGGCAGCGTTCGGGAAATTACGACACATCTTCTCGTCAGGTATACCTCAATCTCTGAAAACTAAAGTGTACAACCAGTGCGTGTTGCCAGTGATGACTTACGGATCAGAGACGTGGTCCTTCACTGCTGGCCGTATGAGGACGCTCAAGGTCGCTCAGCGAGCTATGCTCGGAGTTTCTCTGGGTGATAGACTCAGAAATGAGGATATCCGCAGTAAAACCAGAGTGACCGACATATCCCAACGGATTAGTAAGCTGAAGTGCCATATAGCTCAAAGAACCGATAACCGATGGGGAAGAAAGGTTCTCGAGTGGCAGCCTAGTACCGGTAGGCGTAGTGTAGGGCGACCCCCCACTAGATGGAGTGACGACCTGGTAAGACATGCAGGAATTCGATGGATGCAGGTGGCTCAGGACTGTGCTTTGTGGCATTACTTGGGGGAGGCCTATGTTCAGCAGTGGACTTGTGAAGGGCTGTAATGATGATGATGATGATGATGAAATTAAACCTTATTTTATCAAGACGGTATCAACTTTAATAATGAATATTATGTAAATAACGCATTTCCGATTCCAGGACAATTTTCCGTAAATAAAGACTACTTTAATTAGTACCTTAGTATCACAGAAATCTAAATAATAAGACAATAGAAATGCCTTCTACTGTCTTTTAATATCGGGACGCGTGTCGCCAGGTCGTAGCTCTCACACATAGACAAACAATAAATACACAATTACGCCTACAAATATCTAGCATTCATGCAACAAAGATTAATCTATAAACAATTGCGTTAAGGAATATTTTATAAAAACGCAAAATCTAAGGAGGCGTAGCCACTCGGTCCGATAATTAAAGTGTGCGAAAAACAGAGAATGACATTGCGCGCTCGCTCTTACTTGGGCATAGTGCAGCCCAACGCACGTTTCGATAACTTTCTATTAAGCGCCGTTGATCTTCCAGGAGTCTCACACCAAGATATAACTAATTAACTGAAATTGTCTCAGTAATAGACGCTTTTAGTCTTAGCTTTAGCTTTTAGACGTTTTTAAGTCTTTAATAACCGGATCTTTTGGAAACTTGTAATAAAAGCATTGTATTAAATAAACAGATGTATAAATAAAATGAATACAACATTATACAAACAGCAAACGAATAAATATATGTATGGGTGACATATTTATCATTTTTTATTAGTTTTAAAGATCTGTAACTGACTTTCTGTTGTTTGCTACTTTTCAATTTCCCGGTTTCTTACTTTATTAATTAAGACTACTATCCTTACAATATAATTACTTATCCTTACAATATAACTTATTAAAAATTTATCAAGTAATTTAAAAGTACAAACAAACAGATAATCGCCGATAAACGGTTAATGGTATAAAATATTTAGAAAGAAAAAAGTAGAAAAATATAAATAAATATTTAACGAAAAATCACATTTAATTCCCGTTTCGTTAAAACTAGGTAAGCCAAACATATTTTGTATCGATAATTTATTTATCGATACAAAATAGTTGTGTCACGTAACTGTTTCGCATTCGACTCCTGCGGCCATATTCGAGGAAATGTACGTACGCAACAATTTCGTTTATTGCCCATACTATAAATCCATCGCTGATTTTAGCTGTCGCACTCGTAGACATGAGCTAGTTTAGGAATCAATGGATATTGAAATGTGAAAACAATTAAAATTTTGAAGACAATCGTAGTACTGGAGGTGGATAATTTTATTTAAGTATAAGTATTTCATTAAACACAACATTATTTAAAACACTAAGTACTTATTTATGAAATGTTGTCCCTTTATTTGAAAATTTGCAAGTTGTGGAGGAATTTCCACAGTTGGATATGCTTCAAAACACCATTTTTACGTCTCTGCGTTCGAAACAAACGCTCCTCGCACGCTTGTGGCCTACGAGTCACATGTGCGGCGACAAGGTCACACGCTTTTACGACTTCTATTTATATTTAGATTTCTGTGCTTAGTATACAGTTTTCCCACAATGCTAAGAAGGCTGATACCACGGTTATTTTTACAGTCCTGCTGCAACCCTTTTTCTTTATGTATTGGGACTCACGGCTTTGCACCAGTCTTCCGGTACCCGCTTTAGTTCCTAGCATAAATTAAACAAGGTGTACAGCAAGCCAGCCAGCACTTCCTCTCCAGCTCTTAGCATTTCAAGTGAAATTCTATGATATCCGGCTGCCTTACCTGCTTTCATGCTTTTCATTGCTTTCATTATTTCACCTTTACTTATCTCTTTATATTCTGTTTCCTCTTCTTTCGGAGTTTCCATTTAATTTAGTTGAGACGTCTCAACTTTTTTTAAATTAAAAATAGTTTTAGTCAACACTAATTTCATTATCAAGTAGACGTAATTGTATATCCTGTATAATTTCGAATCTCAATAAAAGACATTTTAAAATTGGTAAAGTACCGTACTATTTCCAATACCGTGTTTATAAAATTAACAACATATTTATTTAATTATGTCGTAAAATTATGTCTCATAGAATGTAATGTTGAACAATTGAAAATATTCACATTTTGACCTTTAAACAAGTATATGATCATGTAGTAGAAGTAGTTCATCGACGGCGGTAATCACTTAACATCAGGTGAGCCGCATGCTCGGTTGCACCTTTTCTATAAAAAAAAGTATGTATGTATTTTTATAAGTATGCTAATGTCTAGAAGTAATCTAGGGCCAGTTTCTATCATGTTTTTATAAACAACTGTACAAAGCCGAGGGGAAAATCGAAAGAAAAATAATACTTATACGTATTCCGATTATTCACCCCGCCTAGGGTGGATAAACGGATAAACGCGTGGTGGATAAACGGACACGCGTTTGTTTGTGCATAGCGATTAGCGATTAATATAGCCCGATATACTAAGGACATGATGTGCACTCACGTCAGTGTACAAAACTGATATTTTTATTATTACATTTGATTACTGTTTTAGTAAAGACTTAAAGTACCTATACGTTCTATACGTGGTAGAGCCATGCTGCAGTTATAGTAGAAGTATATTTGTAGCACGAATGGGTCGACTCGACCGCGGAAGGACCACGCCCTCTCAGAATACCAGCGTAAAATAGTAGCTTAATGCTGCTGTGTTTCGTATGGTGAGTGTAGGGAACCGGAGACCCTTTTTACTGGAAACGAGGCATTCCATTTTAGTCCTCACGGGTGACAACGCATCTGCATTTTGATTCGTAATCGAAGATAGATGTAGATGTCTATGGGCCACAGCAACCACTTACCATCGGGTGGACTGTGTGCTCATTTGTCACCCTATCCATTTAAAAACCTAGTAAATACCTCGTTATGAATTCAAATTAATTTTTCAATCGCTTTATGAAGATTCTACAGACGAAGGAGACTGCCCATATAGCATTTTCTACCAAACAACCGAAAAGTTAGTAGCAGAAGTGTGTATTGCAGTGTACACAAATACATACGCAGAAACACACGTACACAAGTACACACACACACACGCACACACGCACGCACGCACGCACGCACTCACTCACTCAAACTAAAATGTCTTGTGAACACAATTTGAAAGCAAGTAAACACGACAAAACTTATTTCTCTATTAACAATTGTTCATAAAAATTGTACTCCCATTAAAACAGATGGTCGTGGTAATCACGCCGTAGGATCTCTGACTATTATAGGATAAAATAGTTTTCAAAGAACGAAAAGGACAAAATTTATTGAAGTTGCTACTACAAATGAAATAAGAATTACTCACCACAGGCAGTTCAGTTTTCTTCAAAACTTGCAAAAATTTATTAATATTATCTGTGTGCTTAAACTGCAAACCCATTATCTGAAATTCAAAAAAGTTTATGTTGTTTCGGAAGTGATAAATGAAATCATTATTGATATACAGGGCTAACTTTACTAACAGTGATGAAATTATTATTAAACCTTAATTAGTAGTGTAAGAAAATGACACATTTGTCACAATGCGCTTCAACCACCTTTTTTACGTTTTGTGTGTTGTATTGGTGCATAGAAACATATACTTTTAATTAATAAAAGTTAAAAAAATATTTTACAAAAAAGCTTTTATTGAAATACTCTTAAAAGAAAAAAAACTTTAAATTAAATCAAACCCATCAATTTATTATATTTTAAATGATATAAAAGCTTGTCGCAAGATTTACCAATTTTTTATAAAACAATCAATATATAATATCATAATCAATATCAAATTACATATTGTATTCTTGTTTAAGTATGTAGTAAATCCCGCGACAAGCTTTTATATCATTTAAAAATTATTTTCTTCTTTTTAGAGCGTTTAAATAAAACAGTCATCTCTGACTGCATCAAATTAAGTCCACAGACGAATAGAGTGTTGTATCCTTATTCCCTGGAAAAACTCACGCGACATCGGACGTGTGCTGGCTAAAACCATCAGGTTGGTAAACATCAGGGATTAGCTGCTACTCAAGACTGACAAGGAGACGGACGAGTGGTTCCTCGTTGTTTCGGTGCCGGAGGATCATATCTAGACCCTGATGAAAGCCGGACGCCATCTTGCCATGTGACTGTGGGCCGTCTACGTAAAATTCCGGGATAGTGGAAGTAAATTCTTTGTTACTCCACCAAGATAAGAGGCAGACAATAACCCGGAAGTCATGAAAACCGGGGCCATGGTTACCGGTGCTGCGGAATCACTGGATGCCAAGTCCAGTGACAGAACGGCCTGCAAAACAGCCGAAGCCACCAGTAGAAATTGGGCTCAGTGGCAGCTCATTGATTGACGAAGCCGGACTGCATTTTGCCGTCCAATTCTAACTCGGTGGCTGACGATGAGACCTGAGATCTGCTGGCAGGCTTATTTTTGGGCGGGGACGGGGAGGATGCGATCAATGATGGCGTGCCCTTCTTCCAGAACTAGCCTAGTGCAACCCAACCTCCACCACAGCGAAACTGCGTCGGCTCAAATACGCAAGTGGTTGGAGGCTTAAAAGACGGCCATAGCCTTAACCCAACAGCCGTAGGTTGGAGCTGGTAAAATCAAAGGCCTAAACAACCTAAAAATTAAGCTCTTCTACAACTATGAACACAACAATCCTGGAGCGTGTATTTATACTATTAAAGATATCTGTGCACAGCCATTAACAGATTTCTGTTCAATATAAAATACACAGGAGGGAAGATTAGTCGCCGCCTTGGTCTACATGCCGGAGGAAGACACACCTCCCTAGCCTCAAAAGCTGCAGTCTTTGAAGCTATGCTGGAGCTAACCCCGCTTCACCTACACATACAACAAGAAGCGACTTTAGCTGCCATTAGACTTAAGACCTATTGGAGTAAGAGCAGGCCTGTCTCACTCCCCGTGAGGAGTTTCCAGTCCTCCCATCGGGCGCGTCTTCAGGTGGCGGATAGGGGAATTCCACTCAGATATGAGTGGCAGCGGGAAACCGTCGCGGACCAAAACTGGCTAGGTTTGACAGTAGTAGTAGTTCCAGCTGCCAAGAGGGCAGCCTGCCGCAGCGTTGGTGTCTCAAGCGGCTAGACCGAGGCAAGCTTGAAGCCGCCGCCACCGTCGTGGTATGGCCAGAATACGTTGAAGATGTTTAGATCGATCCGGAAGGGGAAGAAAACTGGGTTCGAGGTATGATTAAGCCAATATGCGACTTGTTGATGCCTAGAACCAGTCGCCCAAAGCGTAGGGTGATATACTGGCGGTTAGCAGAAATGGCACGGCTCTGTGCGATTTGTCTGCGGAGTCGGCGTCAGTACACCAGAGCCCGAAGGAGGAGAAGACGAGCTCCGCCTGAGGAGATAGTCAGACTCTACAGGATATACCGTGCGGCTACAAAGGCGTTGCAACTCACCATTTCCAACGCTAGGTCTCGGTCCTGGAAAGAGCTCCTGGAGGGACTCAACGAAGATCCCTGGCCTATACAGAATGGTGCTGGGTAAACTCCGGCCCTGGTCCTCCCCCCCTTGACGGAGACTAGATCCGGATTTTCTGAGAAGGGTGATCGGCACGCTCTTCCCAGAGGACGGGTCAAGTCCCTCAGGACACCTGAGATGGGGGTGACCGTTGAGGAGCTGGACCGAGCCGTTAGCCGCTTAAAATTCCGGAAAACAGCACCGGGGCCCGATGGAATCCCGGGCCGGGCCCTAGTGGTGAGTATGTCTGCCCTGGGGGACAGGCTCAGGCAGCTGTTTACCAGCTGTCTACAGTATGCAACGTTCCCCACAGCCTGGAAAGAGGCAAAGCTGGTCCTCTTGAAGAAGGAGGGCAAGGTCGCTACCGCTACCGCCCCATACGTCTGTTGGACGAGATTGGCACATTGTTCGAGAGGATACTTGCCACTCAGCTCAATAGACATCTGTGTGATTTGGCTGATAGCCAGTTTGGATTTCGACGGGAGCGTTCTACAATAGATGCCACCATGCGCGTCCGCTCCCTGTCGGAACAATCAGTATCCCAGCGGTGGTGTGGCTTTGGCGGTAAGTCTAGATATCTTCAACGCCTTTAACTCTCTACCCTGGGACGCAATCAGGAGCGCACTGCTACACCATCAGATGCCCCCCTACATGCAAGGTGTTATTGCGGACTACTTGCGCGACAGGTACATCCTGTACATGGGGCAAAATGATAGGAAGATCCGGAGGGAGATCAGACGTGGAGTTCCGCAAGACTCGGTGCTGGGGCCACTATTGTGGAACCTCGCATATGATGCCGTTCTGCGAGTTGAACTTCCCACAGGCGTAGACATCGTTTGCTATGCCGACGACGCGTTGGTGGTTGCCAGCGAGGTCACCTTCGAGAGGGCCAAGGAGCTCGCTGAGCTTGGGGCGGAAGTCGTCGTCGGCAAAATCCACGAGTTGGTATTAGAAATAGCGCCTCACAAGACCCAGGCCCTATGGTTCCATAAATTACGACGCGGCAGGGAACCACCCGACTCGTGCATCCACGTGGGTGGGTCTGAAGTCAGAGTGGGGCGGTACATGAAGTACCTAGGCTTCCATCTGGACAATGAGATGGGGCTTCAAAGAACACTTCGAGCGCCTAGTCCTCCGGATTGAAAGGGTAGCGGGTGCTATGTATAGACTGCTGCTCAATCTAGGGGGACCAAGGGAAGAAGTGCGTCACCTCTATGCAGGAGTGATACGGTCAGTAGTCTTGTATGGGGCACCTGTTTGGGCGAAAGGTTAGCCATCTAACGCTGTAGAACTAAAATCTACAGTGTGCAACGGAGGATGGCCCTTCGGATCGTGGGAGGATACCGCACGATATCCTTTGAGGCGGCGACAGTCCTTGCTAGCTTTCCACCTCTGGACCGGACACGTGTTATCTGCCAGCGCAGTGGGTGTGAGCCATATGAGGTGTTAGAAAGAGTTAAGCGGCAGGAACGGCTTAACGCATTCATAACGTGGCGCGTTCGTCTCTGTGAAGAGCGTTATGCGCGCAAACGCGTTGTTGAAGCAATCCTGCTGCACTTCGAAGCCTGGATGCATCGACGAGCAGGAAGACTCACTTACAGACTTACACAGATAATAACCGGCTTCGGTAATTATTTCTGTAAGATCGGACGCGAAGCGACGGCGAACTGTTTGAACGGCAGGACCAGGACTCCTCAACCCATATGCTGATGATGTTGATGAACAATTTATGAGTAATTTTGAGGACGACTTGAATTTACCCACAAAGTTCTATCACTATTTTATTTCACAGTTCGTCATCTATATTGCCGGATAAGTAACAAGGCATTTACTATAGAAAATAGAGTGCACTGACTATTTGTCAGCTTTAGTAGCAAAGGCAACTTCACAATATAATTCTTTTATAGTATTTAAAGATAGAGGAGGGCTTACGTATCCATATAAAGACGCAATTCACTTATGTAATGCTGCTGAAAAAAATAGTAAAAAGAAAATTAGATTCGAAAAATAGAGCAGATTGTGATTCTCGAAGCATGGTCACCAAAATGCTCAAGCTATTCATAGGAACAAACATTTTGAACGTTCTCCATGCTCATTTAGTTGAACAAGAACCATACAGCAATCATTTCCTGCATTTGTTAAGAGCTGTGATCAAAAAATGTTATACATGTTAAATATTTAGTTCGAAAGTCAAATGTCGAAAAAACTAAAAGACAGCTTTATAACAAGCTTACCCTTCTAATGGTCAGTAGAAACTAGAATTAATATCTAATTATAAAAAAATATTATTTGTATTAAAAAAATATATACTAAACCTGATATTTTATTTTATAAATCAATTAACACATTAAACACAAATTTAACACAACACAATTTTATTTATTATAATGATCCTAAGCCGGTTAAAAAAGTGAAAGGATAATTGGAATCATAATTCGCATCATGCAGTTAGTAACTTAAGCATTAGAATTGAGCGTGTCATTAAGAAAATAAACAGTAGGCAAAAACTTTGTGAATTAAATCGCACACAGTGGAACACGCGTACGCGTAGCTGTTTGCCCATAAATTGCATTCAATTTGGAATAGTTTAAAATAATGTTAGAAACTTAACTTATTTGTATATTCAAAAATCCAATTACGGTATATAATTATTTATATATTTGAACTTAAGACCATTATAAAAAGAAGCACAATTAAAAGGTTTCCTCATTGAAATTATATGTTTTGCGTTCATTGCAAGAAATAACAATTACTTGGTAAAAATAATTAGTTTTCTCTAACACAATAAGCTCAAGGCAAATTTTATAAAACTTAATCATTTATTTAGTAATAATAATCATTCTTCCGAGACATATTTAGGCCAAAACTCTGAGTCATGATTTGGAAGCTCTTATTTATAGATCTCACAAATATCCTATACTTACTTTAATAATGATAAAATAAATTTTCGTTATATGCCTTTCACGTAAGGAAAAAAATCATCATAATTCAATTAAAGACCAAAATGGCTTCGATACAAGCTCCAATATCGCCGAAGTTCTACATTATTTTGACGTAAAAATTTTTCTACTACACATTTTTTCTACATGATCAAACCACTAAAGCATTCTTTTCTTAATCCTGGTCTCAGCATTATCTTGCAAACCATACTCTTATTTTATCACAAAATTTCTCACCCCGTCACATTCAGCCCTAACATACCCCTTAGCGACCGCATTTCTACTGCATTTATTCTACTCTTGTGCTTCTGCCACACCCAACTTTCACAACCATACATTAAAGTAGGAGTCCCTACTTTTGTATGGTTGTGAAAGTTGAACACGCATTTTGAATTCTCTTTTTTGACACATTCTAACTTTTCACAATAGAGTGTAAACCCCATTTACTTTATTTCCTGCATTTACTCGTCATTTTATATCCTTATCAAATCTCCCATCCCTGCTGAATACACATCCCAAATATACAAACTCATCTACTTGCTCGACCAACTCCCCTTCTATTTTTATTTCACATATACACACATTTCTTTTCTTTGAAAAACCTTAACTTTCTTTTTACTTGTGTTCACCTTCATACCCCTTTGTTTTAAAGACCCATTCATTAATGTAACCATCATTTGCAACTCTGCTGCCGACGACGCAAAATAACTTGATCATCGGCGTACAAAAGGCATTTTATTATACGCTCTGAGTTGTAATGTGAACTCGGGACTAATATATGAATGCCATCGACGATCAAACAAGGTATGTAAGCACAACAAAGTGACTCTGCAATGGATTATTGGACACAGTGGATCTAGAGGCAATGATGCAGCAGATGAACTGGCCAGAAGGGGATTGCCTCTGGACACTATAGGGCCAGAACCAATAATACCAATCCCCTTTAGTTACCTTCGTTTACTGGTACGTAGAAACTTCAATAATCTATACACTAAGTTTTGGAAAAATCTAGTAGACTGTAGACAAACTAGGGAGGCCCTCCCTGATATAAACAGCCATCTAACCAAGGTTCTAATGAGACTGAACAAGCCACAGATCAGGATAGTACATGCTATCATAGGACATGGCTCCTTTAACACACATTTATTTACCATAGGTGTTACAAATAGCCTCCTGTGCAGGGCATGCAAGGAGGCGTAAGAAATAGCGGCTCACATGTTGCTGATATGTCCGGAGGTTGCTTCATACAGAGCTAAACATCTTGATACGCCAGTATTGCTTGCCAAAGATGCTTGCAACATCAAAGGACTGTTGAAATTCTTCGGGGAGATTTCATGGCTTGAATGACCACATTTTTCAAATGTAAAACAGTAGTAAAACACACGGAGTTGTGGAAAACATCCTGTCGTAAACTAAGCTAAAAAAACCGCCAACAGACAGACCTAGCGAAACTATTAAGGTTCCTTGTTGTTTAACTATAGAACCCTAATAAAAACAAATAAGATGAAAACAACTACAATGGTGCCCTACATTTGCAATTAAAACCTAGGGCACCAAAAACTAAATTGTATTGAAAGAGATACATAAAATGCAGCACATCAACCACATTACTGCATGTTCATCAATATAAACCTATTATCATAGCCTATCCACCCATTTCAGCTTGATGTTAAGTTTTAAGACACCCAATGTTTATATAGTATGTTAAGATTTTAAAGTTATGTTTACAACAAAAAAATATACATTAATACAACTACAATCAGCTCCTGTTTGTGGTCATATTATTTATATCATTCATGAAGTCATAAACTTTTTTCAAAAGAATTTTCCAACAGGAACACTGTGTTTAGTAGGTAGTGTGAAGAAGACCAGAGTTGCTTTATACTGGTAATGAGGCATTTCATCTTAATCCTTACCTTAGTTGGTATTCATATTCCTCAACATATATCAAATCTTTAAATGAATTGTAGTGACAAATGCTAACTTTAAACAGAGAAAGCTACAGGTGTGTGCCTCACAGTTTGTAGTTATAATGAATCTCTGCTGCTTGGTGGCAGAAATAGTGTTCAACCAGATATAATCAGGTAGACTGTGTACTCATTTGTCACTTTATTTTCTATTAAAAAAAATCAAATAATCTATGGCATTAAAACCATTTTCACTATAATAATTCGAATTCTTGCTGGATACTTTTAATTTAATCAAAAAAAGCTATAATTTAAAAAGATTGGTACCTTATATCGTCTTTGATCAATATCATAAATTTTGCTCAAAGGAAGTGATTCAGGAGATATAAAGTTTCCTAATTTTGCCAAATAAACTCCATTTCGTAAACATTCTTCAAACTCTATGGGATCAGGTAGCTTTTCCTTTAGGCATGCTTCCATCCAAGTTTTAGCTTCCTCAAGTCGACAAAGATATTCATAAGCAATAGTCCTTTGCCTTATTACATCCATTTCTTGACCAGTTTTACGAACATCTGTGTCACCTAATAAATAAAAATAAAACCAAAAAATTAAACATTTGAAAGTTGAAACTAGATGTGATGCCAACTACAAAAGAGGTAGGGGTTTACAATCCGCCTAAGTTTTTAAATGTAAGTTATGTGATATCATTGTAAAATGTTAACTTATTATCATTTTTTTTAATAAATAGATTGTTCTTCAGGGGTGGCCCTTTATAAATTTGAAGAAAATATTCCCACTTCTAAGCGTGAGTTTTATGAATTTAACTAATTATACGTCATAGTGATTTTGTAAATCATATTCCACCCAAAGGGTAAAAAAATAATAATTTTGAATGCAACATTAAAAAGCGCCTTTAATAAATTGATTTCTTCTATTTAAAATAAAATAATTTTACATTTTTAATTCTTAGGCTTTAAATGTCCTAACATGATACTTTAATTTTTATAAGTTAATTATTTTTAGGACTTGGACCTGGATTATACGAATAGTTTGAACTTACAGTCATCTATTTTACCAATAAGTGTTTCTCCGGTATCGTTTCCCATTGTATTTAAATACAGATCTGTTATGATTTAGTTAATATGTCATAATTACAGTATCCTAACATAATTTAATAATCAACCGCGCCTAAATCATTATTGTCACAACAGAAGAAAGGACAGCACATCAAAATTCACAACTATGTTCACAACAATTACAAAACATTCAAAAACAAATACCGTTGGATACATACACAGATAACAGATTAATATGATACTTACGTATGATACATAGCTTATCTATGGTTGTTTTATTGTTATTATCAACCGTAGACATTCTAGAGGATTGACAAACATTATATTATTCCGTAGACAGAAATCTTTCTTTCTCGAATGAAAAAGAACGATAACGAATTTTTAGGTTATGGAATAATCTTTATGACTTTTAAACACATTTAGATAAAAATTTTAATTGTTCTAAGAATTGAACTGAACAAGATTCACTAATCTTAAGCTCACAAAACACTTTTTTTCTCACTTAAACCAACTTGTAAACTCCTTAAATCGCTACGCTGTCAAAGTTGTTTAGTAGCTGTAGAGTTTGCTAAACAAAAAAACCGGCACGGAGAAAGGGACAGACAATCACACCGCTCTATCTCATTTCTATACAAGACGTATGCATAAATCTATCTTTTTCTCAAACCTGCAGGTGTTTTACAATACGATGAGTAAAGGGCTGAGCTACGCGAACAGAATTATTACGAAAGACCGAAAACTTGAATCCCTTTGCCTCACCAACCCGTCTGCCTTGTAGTAAGATAGGCGTATAGGCGTACCAAAAGTGGAATATGAATAGGCCGTGATGATATTCAACAAAAATATGTACCTATAAAACAAACCCGGTTTAATATATTTTCTAGAAATCAATACATTTCTAATCTGAAAACTTATACATAAAGTAGGAAAGGATATTATATGAAATAGGTACAGTATTTTTCATAATGTCACATTTTATTAAACGTTCATTTTGATCGATATCGATAAATTATTATGGTACAACAATATTAATGCACACATTAATAATCTACACACACAAAGACAATCAGTTTTTAGTCTCGTTTGTTGTATGGAGTGTAGAAGTAAGGAGAGCAATCTCTCATAGGAGAATAGTTGAAAAAATTCCATCTGTAAGCAATAAATAACAGTTCAAAAACTCTCCACAACAGCGCTGGAGTAGCTACAGGGATGAAATGAACTTAGCAGTTGTTTACGGTTTGAAGTATGTTGCTAAACTGCTCAGTAGCTCTAAAATCTAAAATAATTTTTTTTAGTAAATATATTCTCGAAAAAGTCGTCTATCCCACTAATATTTTTGGCACGTTCTTTAAAATTTAACCCGTAGCTAGTAGTAGTAGCTATAGTGGCGCTATCCTTATTTAACGGTTTTCTACCTCTGACAAAGCTACTTCTACTATGGGAGTTGGTACTCCTTACTTCTACCATAGACAGAGAAACCTATAGACTAATGATTAGCGTGGCCTCGAGTGAGAAAGGACGATAAATTAGTTTTAGGTTATACAATAATATTTATGACTTTTAAACATATTTAGATAAAAAATTTAATCTTTTTAAGAACTGAACTGAACAAGATTCACCAATCTTAAGCTCACAAACACTTTTTTCTCACTTAAACCAACTTGTAAACTCCCTAGATCGCTACGAACTGTCAAAGATGTTTAGCAAAGTGTAGTTTGCAAAGGGACAAATAATCAACCCTCTTTATTTTGTATGCATATTTTGAGAAGCGTCAATTTTTATAGGCTCTTGACTTTTTATATTATGATTTACACCATAGATGGAGAGAAACCTATAGACAAATTGACGCCTTCTTTCGCATTCGTACACGAAAAAGATAGATTTATGCATACGTCTTGCATAGAAATGAGATAGAGCGGTGTGATTGTCTGTCCCTTTCTCCGTGCCGGTTTTTTTGTTTAGCAAACTCTACAGCTACTAAACAACTTTGACAGCGTAGCGATTTAAGGAGTTTACAAGTTAGTTTAAAATTTTCGAATGTTGTCTTTATTTACGTTTTGCAATTTGTGTTCATAGTTAATTCTTTTGTTATAAAACTTCTCAATGATCAATTTTACTTATGAGCACTTTTGATTGTTTATCGAATTGTGATCATCCAGAGATGAGAATATATATATATATATATATATATATATATATATATATATATATATATATATATATTTGATTATATTGAGAATGTAAAATACAATATCTAAACTTACGGAATTTCTTTTTAACATAGTGATATTCAAACATAAATAGTTAGATATTTAAGTAAATACCTATTTATATTTTATAAAATGTTTTACTAGTGAAATAAAAAAGTACATAATGGCTGCCTTATTTTTCATATTTTCAGTATTACTTGTAATAGTATCAAAGGTTTAATAATTAAAAATTTAAAACATAGAAGTTTATTTTAACATTCAACTTAAATATGAATGTAAACTTAATAATTTAAGTAAGGACACTTGTAGAAATTAGTTAAATAAGATTTCCCTGTTTAAAGGCCAATATGTTTTTATGAGGCTGCTCTCTCATTCATCTGTCCCTGAAAATATAAAGTATGTAATGATAAACTTGTTATCGTTTTAGCTGCATGAATTAAAAAAAAAACATAATGATCTTAACAGAGGCTAGCCAAATACGCAGGAGATATTAAAGTGCACCAAGTGTCTGCGGATATATTTACACTCTTTATTCTCTCAATCTATGTTATATGTGTATATTGACCGCGGCAAGTGCAGCTTAATCTTGCAGATCTATTGATCCGCGCAACTATTACTTAATCACGAGCTCCTCTTCTCTATAACAAATGCTGTAGGCGCCCGCTATTAAGCATGAATCGGGCATCGAGGGTTGTGAGTATCAAACACTATGGAGTTCATACTATCCTGGCATAATGGACCGCACGTCTCATGCGCGGGCGTCTAGCAGCGCTTCAGGTACATTACTAAATATCTATACCAAACTACGCTAAGTTTTATTATTGTTACTTGGGAATATAATCCGAAGCTCCGCTCGACACCTTGAGGAAAATAGCGTGGTACTATGAATATTGCACTTTATATTGGACTTTGCCCTTGTGGTGCGTATGGTTAAGAAAGATTATACATTTTTTTGATTTATAAACAGATACTTAGTTGGGTTCATAACGGCTTAATTAGATTTATAATGTATAAAAATCTATCTCTATTTTTATCAAAAGTTTTTGAAGTCTTATTATAACAATATACTTACAGGTACAAAATAATGTAGAAATGGTTCATTTTAAAGAAATTGTTTTATTCTACTGTTTCTTTTATACTTCTCAAGAAAATATTTGCTGCAATTTCTTGAGTTCTTCTTAGCATTTTAACCTACACGCCCAGTAAACTTAACCATTTTTTTCTAATTATATAATCCGGAGGGAATCTGTTTGACAAACGGGATAATAAAACTCCATTTTAGAACGCTAACCGAGTATTTATATTCATTCCGTTGTGTGGGAATTAATATGAAGAATAAGTCTATCGATTTATTATAAACATTCAAGATAAATGTCGACATTAGTTTTGATACAGTTGAGTCAATTCCTAGCGTACATGTAAAATATTTTGTACAAAAATGTATTTACCAAATTCATACAAATTATCAACAACGTGACTTTTTTCTTTGCAAAATATTAAAATCAACAAAATAAATTGAAAAGATTCTATACTTTAAATGGTATATAACATTAATTTTAACCAAAAATAGACGCGTCTTATTATTGACATCTTGAGAATTTATCTGTGAAATGTGAAATTATTAAGATTTCTATTATTTTCGCCATAGTCATTTACGGAACATGTATCCATTTTGGAAAACTATGAATTACAAAAATCAACACTATAATAATCTAAAAAATTGCAAAATATCTAGGGGCTTATTTCTTGCGTACCGACTTGTGTCGACCTGTCATTCAAAAACTGTTACAAAGTCATAAGATTTGCAATCCTTTTCCATTTTGCTATATTGCCGTAATTAAGGAATTTTCTTCTCACTTGCACATTATGTCCGTCTAATACTATCCTAAGTCTAAAATCCTATTGCCTGATTCAGGGTGGTGTAATAAGAGAAAGGGAGTAAGGGTCCCTAATTAGGGCGACAAAGTGCACCCTGTCTGCAGTGCCCTTGCCACCGTGTAGTGTAATAACACTTAGGGTAGTTAGGGATGAAAACGATACATCAATTATTTCAAACATCGATATATCGTTCATAAATATGGTTATTCATGAGCGATGTTTTATGAACGATGTTTTGGCTTGCCATCAAAGGTTTCGAAATAACCAACTATTTGAAGGTATAAAATTCCGTATGTTAAAAGTTGCAAACGATGATTATCACGAATTTTATATCGCCGAAAAAAAATACCAAAAAAATATATCTCAAAGTTAGATAATGTCTAAATTTTTAAAGTTAGAAGGTTTATTTAGCAGAAATATCACAACCCCGAAAATTTTAATTACAAATCAACAAATAGGCGAATGGTCTTTCAGTCGAAAATAAATTGTACTCTCGACTCAAATATACTTGAACGTCAGAAGTGCAATTATCTTCAATCGGTTATTTTACTTTTGATTTAAAATTGTGGTTTATTTTTATTGTGGTAATGAGTTAACATAAGTTTACAATTAATATTGAAAATGGATTGGAATGGTTTTATTCATTTTTTTTATTAATAATTATATTGCTTGAACTTTACCTTAATCAATAGCTTAAGTACAGTTTTTTAAAGTAATAGTAATTTTGTATTGGATTTTATTTTATCGGCTTACGGTACTTCGTATTTCGTACATTTCTGAAACATTGATTTTGATGGATGAACGGTTATTCAACTGCTTGTATTTCGGTATAGTGTAGTAGATGTATTCAGAAAATGCGATAATACTGAAGGTGACATATGGAACTACCATAATGAAGTAACCCACCAAAACATAAGAAATAAAGCTAAAGCAGAAGAAGAGTTTCATATATTACATGCGTTGAAGATGTGGGATGGCACGAAAGGGTTATTTCCCGGGCTTCATAGCCTAGCTAAGAGCTATTTGCCTATCGTGGCAACTTCGATATCCAGGGAGTGGTTTTCAGAGGTTGGATCTACAATCACTTTTTTTTTATCATTTATTCTATGTTTTTATCACCATTTATATATATATATATATATATATATATATATATATATATATATATATATATATATATATGGTATATTTAAATGGTGATAAAAACATCGAAAAATTCAATATATCGAACATAAGCTTCCATGTTTTAATGAGCGATGTTGCATCCTATAGATGTGCTTACTCGGAAAAAATTACCACTAAACTCGAGTTGGCAGGACTCCATTGCAGAAATTCTTTAGATTAGAATTATTACTTACTGGTACTATATAAGACCAAGCAACTGCAGTCATGGAGTTAGTGTATGGTCGTTTGACCGCAGTGGAACTATCAATACTACATTTGTGTTACTGCAACGCATCAAAGGCCATGGATGTAAGTGTTTATTCTATTGACAAACTTACTTTTCTTTCTGTTATTATCTTACGTGTGTATGATTTAGTGTTAACAAATTATATTTAAATATTATGTGTGTATATGATTAAGCCGTGGTAGCTCAGATGGTTAGCGCAAACTGTAAATTGCACAGTACGCGACCCGGTTTCGATCCCCGCCGGCACCAATTAAATTGTTAATTGTAATTTTAAGTGCTGATTTACCACGTGCTCAGCGGTGAAGGAAAACATCGTGAGGAAACCTGCATGTCTGAGAAAATTTCGAAGGCATATGAAGTTTGCCAACAAGCATTGAGGCAGCGCGGCGAACATTTCCTAGCCCTAAAACCCTCTCAGAAATGAAAGGAGGCCTGTTCAGCAGTGGACTTTAATAGGCTGTAACTTTAAATTTTTTAACTTTTATGATTAAGTGTTAACAAATTGATATTGACATGATAACTGTGTTGTTGCAGAAATCATTGAGCTTCGATAAAATACCTATAAACAGTATTACTACTCGCCACTCTCCCCTCAAGAAGAGAGTGATGACATCGTCATTAATAATAACACATGCGATGGTGGAAAAAGAAAATCGCAAGTATAAGCCTGCCTTCTCTTCTATGTTGTTTAATTTAGTGCAAGTATTTTTGACGCCATAGTACTATCTCCTTGCAATCTGATAGCGCACTTCAACGTTTGCGACTTGCGTATTTAAAATTTAAATGCTTCAATACTTTTCTTAATGTTAATTACGACATAAAAGGCATGTCTGGATCACACCAGATACAAGCTATCTCTTGTTGAATCTGAAATATAAGCATTTACATTACAGTTAAGATGTAGACAGGCAACAGAGATTAAAGTATGGTTTTAAAACAATGGAGGATGTCAGCAACGAGGGGTTAAAGAATTAGCAATAACTTTTCAATAGTCGGAATCTCGTTCCTGTAGAAAAACGCGTGAAACTTTCGTCGAATTTCGACTAAAGTAAATTTTTGTATGAAAAATAGTTGAGGTCCACTATTTTTCGGCTTTTGAAACTCTTTTATGTCTTTATATTCTTTGGTAATTTTATAGACACTTGACAGACCCACGCCAGTCATCTTTTAGCACATTCCGTTGCACTCCAATCAATTGTTTGCGGCCAATTTTCTATATTATATAAGTAAATATTTCGAATTATGGTCTTTTCGTTGGGCGTAAAAGCACCACGAGGACGCGGTTGAAATTTAGAATCGTTTGGCAGGAATTTGGGGGAGTAAGATGTTTTATTTGGTAGAGGTTTGGTCCCCGAATATAATAATACCACTCCCATTAAAAGGTAATGCACAGTTCTTGAGAAAAATCAAAAAGAAAATCCCATAGAACTAACCTCACAATCATAACTCTAAATGAATTAAGGGAGTGGGAGGTGGTGAGAGGGAGGCGGGGGAGTTGCGCCCCAATGGGGGTTTTTTTTTTTTAATTTTTAAAAATCTAATTTTGAGGTTCGGTTTTTGTAATGTTTTTGACTATAAACTTGATTTATGGGGGGAGAGAGTTGGAGGAGGGAAGCACCACGTAGCATAGTCGAGGGAAGGCCGGTCAACGCAGTTCCTTCTGAGTGGTTTACAAACAAATAACCACGAAGGGAATGGCGGTGTCTATTCACTCGCTTTGCTCGCTCACTAGACCCCGCCATCCCCTTCTAACCTAACCTGTCCGAGTCGGAGTGCCCTAAGTCTCGAGCTCACTTCGCTCGCTCTTGCACTCAACAAAACACCAAAATATTAGCTTTTATAACTACTATAAATAATAAACATAATATATAATACAATAATAACTAATAACCACACTACGGCTCGCACAGGTGCCTGCGATGTGCTACGACGGGCGGGGACTGCTCTCCCTCCGCACCTACGGCTTTACAAAAACACTTTAGGAGTAGGGCAGACAAGACTACGTGGATTTGGGGTGTGCTGATTTAATTTTAGTACAGATTTTTTTTTACTTATTACAGATTCGATCAGATGAGATATCTATCAGGTTGCCTTTGCTCCCGCCACAGACACAAAATTCTGTATGCTATCCAGTTTTCACAGTAATATCGTATAATTTTTTCTCAGAAGGGCTAAAACCTAGAGTCGTAAAGTCAGTTAATAATAAAAACGTATACTTTCCATACTTTACGTATTTAAGGTTATAATAGTTTTTATTTATTTTTTGGATAACGGTGCATTACCTTTTAATGTGAGTGCTATTATTATAAACGGGGACCAAACATCTACCAAATAAAACACCTTACTCCCCCAAATTCCTGCCAAACGATTCTAAATCCAACCCGAGGTCGCTTCTTTCTAGGAGAAAAAAGTCTGTGTTCTGTCAGATGGGGCTGCTTCCTAGGAAGGGCCAGGTTGTGGCTCCATAACGTTTATAAAATCAACAAACGATCACAACACGAAAAGTCAACAAGAAAAAACTTAACAGATTAACAGAAACTTAACAAATATAACAAGATAATAACAACAAATAGCAGCAAACACCAAAAACACATGAGCGCATTCGAGCATTTAAAGAAGTCGAATGAAAATAAAATCAATGTGACAGACGCGACGTGACAGCTAGCATTTTTTAAAAAAAGGTTTACTAAGCCTGGAATTAGTAGACAGTGAGGCCAGCTAAAGAATAAAATAAAGTAATTAAAGTTAATTCGATATATTGTTCGTGATATTTAAATATTTGTTATTTTTGTATCAGGTCACTTGAGTAAGTAAATATTGAGATTTACTTTTTGTAGGTAAAACATAAAAAATACGTAGTATTTTATTTTTTATTGCCCTCAAATGGGTCAAATTTGTAAGTAGCAACACTTATGAAATGTCCGAATTCTACGGAATGAAATATCCGTAGACAGAGAAACCAATAGACTAATTTTTAGGGTGACCTTGAGTGAGAAAGGACGATAACGTAGTTTTAGGTTATACAATAATCTTTATTACTTTTAAACATATTTGGATAAAATTTAAACGTATATTCATATAGTTCTGTAACGAAATTTGAAATAACAATTGAATTTTACGCGTAACACCAGATAAAATGTACTGTACTTACTAGTGAAATGATATACCGGTGAGTTTACGTTCACTATCACTTTTACATCCTAAGACACTACATCTAACCATTTTTAAAGTTTTTAATTGTTCTAAGAACTGAACTGAACAAGATTCACCAATCTTAAGCTCACAAAATACTTTTTTTTTCACTTAACTCTTTAGATCGCCACGAACTGTCAAAGTTCGTTTCGCAAAGTGTAGTTTGCTAAACAAAAAAAAAAAACCGGCACGGAGAAAGCGACAAACAATCACACCGCTCTGTCTCATTTCTATGCATGACGTATACATGAATCTATCTTTTTCGTGTACGAATGCGAAAGAAGGCGCTAATTTGTCTATAGGTTTCTCTGTCTACGGAAAAATCAGAGTATAGTGTAAAAAGAGACCAAAGATGGCCACTTGACGTTTCTTTTTCACGCAATGCAAGACTATTTAAAATGCTATCGAAAGCTAAAACTAATCAAATCGGGCTTCTTAGGAAACCTAATGGTAACTTCATCAACAGTGAAACATAAATATTGAAGTTATACATGTACATGATTTGAGTAAATATTTTGTAATACTTTTAAAGAAATATAATTTAATATGTCGGATCAATAACTTAAAATGCTATATAATTGAAATATCAAATGCCGTAAAAAATCTCATAATGTTCGGTGGATGGCGGAGCGACGGCAATCACCATGCAATCACCGCACCGTTTAAACAGGTAATAGAATTTTCTGCATAGTGGAGCGCTTACACGCTCGCGCTACTGCCGTAGCTTCCATAAAATGTCATAAATTAGCTGTTAACCTCCTTGCTATATAATTTATAATAAGCATTTTACATTTAAAATAATGACTTTGATAAGTGACATAACCTAAAATAACAATTGTTGACAGAGTGTATTTGTCTGTTTGAACGATTATTTTCATATTTTGTATTTAAATATTTGTTAAAGCCGGAAAAGTTTGTTAAGGTATTCTGAGAGCCCAGAAATTGTTTTATTTAATGGATAAACATACTAAAGACAAAACTTTGGAACTAGAACCAAACCCAGAGTTCATTTACGCTTGCACGTGTTTTGAGTCATCTTTAGAAAATGTCACATTATCAGACCACAAAAAAAGAATTTTGAATACAGTGTCTCAAACTGAAAATTATTTGCGAGATCGTCGTATTCCCGAGTTGATCAGATTTCTTTTGTCTAAAGTTCTTGCTGTAGAATCTAATAAACCGATATTATATTTAGAAAAATTACTCGATGATTGTATGCTATTTCGAGCAGGCGTTGGACCAGCTCCCGTTTTGTTTGAAGATAGGTAAGTAAGCTAGTAACATGTAAAGCCTATAGGTTAGACGCATATTAAAACAATTAATAATAAATGTACAATAATATTCTAAAAATACTCTTAAACTACGGATACTGAGCAGTAGCAGATTATTTGAAACACTGATAAATGAAAGTTTCATCAGCCTCAAAGTATAAATGACTTAAAAACGATGCGCGACTTTATTTCAATTTACTAATGGAAATGTTAGAATCTATGTGTTCGTGAGGCATTTGTTAAATCATTTATTAATCTTATAGGCATCTTGAAGCATTAGTGAAAAGTTTTGACCCCGGACACCGTGGGTGGTTAACTGCTGGCCAAATACGTAAATTGTATGCAACCTTGGGCCTGTTAATAAAAGAAGAATTGCCAGATATCTTGCCTTGTGAAACAATATTAAACAATGTCAAAGAAGCTCAAGAAAATGAATTGTTTGATTTGTTATTAGGAAGACCGACTAAAAACACCAGCGACGATACACTGGTTTAAAAAGTGCTTATTTTTATATTCTATTAACATTTAGTACCAACTAACGATGTTTGCAAGCACACAAACGTTGTAACATCCACCAATAAAATGGATTACTTTAAATCAAACTTTTAAATGTTAAATTACAGCAAATACAATAAGATGATGAATATATAAGGTTGTAAGTATTTTATTTTATCAAATGTTTTACGCTTATTGACAGTAAGCAAAAAATATGAAATGGGCGTTACTCATGACCTTTGTTTTGTCCATGTTCATCTTAAGAACTATCCACTGGGAGAGACTATTAAGGGAATTGAGCACAGTGCCAAGTGATTCAGCGATTCCGCCATCAAGACTACAGCGTCGTCAAATCGAAGGTGAGTGATGCCTTTGATACGCCTTTGATATTAATATCGTATCCTTTCCAGTCCGGTAACTTGAAAACGTCTTACAATGCAGCGGTGAAAAGTTTCGGAGATATTACGTCACGCCGTCTCACACCTATATGCGGTTGAATAGGTTTTCTACTCTGGTTCTGTACTCGGATAGCGATCGTAGCCCTACTGAGTTTGTAACACTTCAGTACTTCAATATACCGACACTGAACTTGGCACAGCTGAAGAGACTGTAGTAGCGCCCAAAGGCTTTCTCATGCTGCACATACGCAAGGTAAAGGGTTAGATTATATTCTTCGTTCTTCTGTAAAATTTGCTGAAGGGTATGTATGTGATTTATGGTACTAAAGCCTTTACAGAATCCGGTTTGTTGGAAGTAGTCGAGTCTGCGTGCTAGAAGATTCGTAATGACTCTCGAAAATAGTACATAAGAGGGCGTTGTCGCCTTTTTAAAGAACAAGACCACCACACTTCTGTTCCACGCCACCGGAGTAGTTCCACCATAGTGGACGGAATTCAAAAGCTTCTAAATGACTTCAAGTACTGGTTTTGCACCCACTTTTAGAAGCTCTGCTGTAATTTCATCCTTGCTTGAGGCCTTAGTGTATTAAGGTACTGCAAAACAATTCTAATTTTGCTCAGACTGACGTCCAGGATATCATCAATTCGTGTCGGATAAGACTTGCTATTGGATGGTTACTCACACTTGAGTATGGCTTGAATGATGATTTGAACGCAGGTGTTCCGTAAAAGATGCTACCTATACATATGGCCTTTAACCTCAACAATTGGCTCTTTCTGACAGAGATTTCTGTCAAGGACAGGTCCCTTGGTTCTGTTCGATCGCTTCTTTAATACGAACCGTATTGATGATGATGATTATGGTGATAATGATGATGTTCATTTTATTTTTATTTTAACAGATAGGAAATGATATTTTTAACGTACACCAATTTAATCTGTGACACTACTAAACTAATAATTTAAATTTAAGTCCCTCCAAAGTGGGAAGACAATACAAGAAAAATAAACAAAACTCAAGTTAATATAGTGTATAATATGTGTTAAGTACCCCGTTACATTACAAACTTATCAAAAATCGGACCGAATCAACTGTTCGCTCGAAGACGCAGCAATACGAAGTCGAGTAGTGACCAAAGCGTCCTCAACTCCCCGTACGCGTACAGAAGGTTTATTTCTGCTTGCAGTAAATGTCTGAGATTGTTATAAAAATTTGTAGGTTATTATAGCGAAATTGTTTTCGCTTTTGCATGGGAGTTATGTATATGTTACGTTGTAACATTTTTTTTGTTCTTTTTTTATATAGCGTTGGGTGACGATCGAGCACACAGTCCATCCGATCGTAAGTGCAAGCTGTGGTTTATAGACATCCACATTTATCCTCAATTAAGAATCAGAATGCAAATGCGTCGTCACCCCTGAGGACTAAGATAGAATACCTCGATTCCAGTAAAAAGGGTCTACGGTTCTCTACACTCACTATACTAGACACAGTAGCATTACGCTGCTATTTTACGCTGGTATTCTGTGAGAGCGTGGTCCTTCCCCGGTCGAACCGACCTATTCGTGCTACAATTATAAGATAGCTGCAGTGTGGCTCTACCACTGTATAAAAGTAAAATATAAACACAGGAGAAAATCCTATGCTCTGTCTTTAGCTTGATAATTTTGATAGCTCACTGTAGGGATGGGGTGGTGTATATTCGTTAAGACGATATTCTATTATTATTCTCATAGAACTTGCAATCAATATTTGATAGTTGCGTGTTTATGCTGTATGGATTTGGAATTTTGAACCATTTCTTACCTATTGAATTAATAAAAAAATATTAATACGATAATAAAATCGCTCGCACAATAACGATTTCGCCTCGTGCATATTTTTATTCGGTCAGTCAGACTATTTAGTAAAATACATGCAAGTCGAAATAATTTTTGTGAAAGGGATTAGTGTTAAATAAGAGTAGGAATTGTAGTTTAAAGATATTTATCATTTAAATATTTGTGCACAACCTAAATTAAGTTCATTATCATCATCATCATCATCATCAATAGGCTCACTACTGAAACTGTTCCTTACGTTGATTATTAATTCTTGTTCACAAGCTCTGTCAAAGTGGACTTCTCGCTTCCAGTCTTCTAGTATATATTTTTTGTGTGTTCCACGACTTCTATCCGTTATAACGTTACAACTCCACTTCCGACTTGGTAGCACTCCTGCTACCAAGTCTACCGAACTGAACCAAATCTACCTACCGAATGCCTCGTTTCCAGTAAAAAGGGTCTCCGGTTCCTACATTCACCATACGAAACACAGCAGCATTAAGCTACTATTTTACGTTGGTATTTCACCTACCACCATTCATGCTACAACTATACTACTAACATAACTGCAGTATTGCTCTACCACGGTATAGGCATGTAATGCGGAGAAGATATGCTGCCAAACTTAAATCAATTGCGATAGGGGCAGAAGAGTGAGGATGGATGATAATGATTTGGTTCTAAATAACTGCCATTTCTAATGTTCTGACATCGTGAGTAAATAATACAACATGTTTATTAATAATAAGCTTTTATTGATTATTGTCCACTGACCTCTATGTATACAAGTACGCTGGACTGGCTATACACCGTGACATGATAAGGCAATTTGATTTGCGCCATTTTGGCGCTGGCAGTAGAAGTGCACGTCCACGGAACTAATAATAGGAATAAGACAGTGCGACAAAAATATCGATAAAATTATGTACCCTACCAATATAATCAGAAATCAGAAATATTTATTGACCATAATATAACAATCGTTACAAAAGTTTTTATAAATTTATAAGATTAAATTATATTATTGTATCTTAATTTAGTTACATTGACGTTTTACGTCATAGAATTAGGTAATTTATTTTATTTGTATGTTACACAAGAATGATGATTCCATGAGTTGCAATGACATGTATTCGCTTAATTTGTCAAATGGGTTGTCCTCAAAAAAATATTTAAGTTTCCGTTTAAATTTGCTATAGTGTAGGCTAGTTTTGTTATACATCAATATTTTTGAATAAGGCCCCTGTTTTTTTTTTTACTTTCACTAATCTATTCATGGGTAGAACATGTTTTTCATTATTACGTAGATTGTGCTGATTTATGTATTTCTTTTTCGGTATTTCTTTATCCTCATGTACCTCTAATAAACTATTATGTATATAAAGCGAAACCACTGTCATTATTTGGTCGTTCTTAAAATGTTTTCTTGCCGGGCTACTTTTTTTAGACCATTGATTATTCTTATAGATTGTTTTTGACATTTTAAAACTTTTATAACATCTGGAGCATTACCCCAAATAGTAATGGCATATCTTATTACAGAATGAATGTAGGCAAGACATAGTACACAGATATGAGTGTCTTTTTATCTAATAATGGCTTTAGCTTAAATAATGCGTAATTACCGCTAGCTATATTCTTACAATTTTTTTCAATATGAGCTTTATGGTTTATTGTGCTATCTACTGTATATCCTAAAAATACATTTTCTTTTGTTGTCGAGTTATCACGAATGCCTAGCTTCAGTTGGTAGTGCATTACAATGCTTTTATTAGAATTTAGAATAATACCATTTGCGCCAAACCATTCTTTTAGCAAGCTCATAACATTGTTAATTTTATCGTCTAAATTTGATAGACTTTTGTCTCTTAAACCAATATGTGTATCATCTGCAAATAAACTTAAATGTGTATAATCTGGTATTGCATTGCCAAGATCATTAATATATATCGAAAACAAAACAGGACCCAAGATCGAGCCTTTTGGTACTCCAATCGACACATGACTCACTAAAGAAGTTTGCTCATTTAATGAAACAATTTGGCTACGGTTACTTAAATAAGTTTTGATCATATTTAGTTCAGCTCCTTGAAAACCATAATGCTGCAACTTTAATAGCATTACATCATGTCGCAAGCAATCAAAAGCCTTTGATAGGTCACAAAAGACACTAGCACATCTATTGGAATTGTCCAAAGATTCTAGAATGAAGTAAATTACTTTTCTTATGGCCATTTCGGTTGATCGTCCTTTTCTAAATCCAAATTGTGCCGTTGTAAATAAATGATTTTCTTCAAAGTAACTTACAATTCTAGATTTTATAATGGTTTCTAATATTATTGAGTACGTCGGAGAATATGCCATTAACTAAGCAGGAATCGACAACAATAAATAACAACTCGAATAAATTATTGTTCTTTCTAATAAGATTTCTTAATGTTCTGGTGTTCATATCGTAAATGTCTAACGTAGATTTTTGCTTCATACTAGTAACAACCTTTTTAGCTCTGTATAATCTAATGGGTAAAAAGAAATAGATATAAGTGGTCTATTTGAGCAATCTAAATACTTCATGCAGTTTTTTTGCGTCAACTCCTAAGTTGCTTGTTAATCGATGTGCAATATTGCAGAAAAAATCATTAAAACTTCTTACAATTTTTTGAGATTCTGTAATAATCTGCCCACTATGGTTTCTTATAGATTCAATTTTAGATTGTGTGTTTTGACGTTTCTTTTGTCCTATCTGCTCATTTATAATATTCCACGATTCTTTAATTT